ATTAGGCTATAATATCATTAAACGAACCACAAAATGTCATAATTTAGAGCCCGGATAAGTGTATAAAATGCACTTATCAATTAACAATCGGTTAATTTTACTGCAACTATTTCATTTACCGCTGTATTAATTATTTTTGTCATAAATATGCAATTAAAATTTAGTTGCCTTTCTTTTTAACAACGAAAAAAGTGTTTGTAAAAAGTTTATATTAACAATCGAAATATTAAAATAACGAGAAATATTATTGTTAACGGTAATATTCATGGCTCCATATGGGTGTGTTTGATGGATATTATTGAGGAAAGAATGTATTTTAAATAGTGATATGATAGGAAATATATAGTTAAAAAATAAGGAAAGTTATTGATGTGATGAGAAATATTATTTTATTGAAAAATGTGTGGTTGAAAATGAGTAGAAGAATGAGAATGAAAATTTTAATATGTACCAAACAGTGGCTAAATGGTATTAATGGTATGTTAAGTGTAACTTTTCGTTAAGAATATTATGATGGAAAATGTGTGGTTAAAATTGAAGAAAAAGTTATTGCTGTGATGAGAAATATTATTTTATTGAAAAATGTGTAATTAAAAATGAGTTTTAAGGACTGTACACTTTACTGCTTAATCAGTGGGGCCTACACTAATCAGTGTGGGCTGTAAAATGTATAGTCCATTAAAGACCGTACAAGTGGTTTTTCTCTTAAAAGAATGTATTTTGAAAGAATGTGTATCAAACATGGACTAACTATCACGCATTCACATCATACCACAAGCATATCTTACCCACTACTATAAATAATTGTAAGAAGTCAAGAAAAGTAATTGTAAATAACATTAACAACAACTAAAATTTTCGTTGGCCTTCAATCAATGAAAATATTCCAACGTCAACTAAAACTATATGTTTATATCAAATATCAGGATCTTGCTAAATGCAACCAGTTCAGCCATTGGTGTACTCAACATAAAACAAGCAAATGTGTCGTTAGAGACTATTGCCTCTATCGAAGAAAAATATGTTAATATTACCACCATCATCCAAAATAAAGTTAAAAACACATTAATTATCACCATTTGATAGAGACGCATCAGGGTTAATAGGCCGAAGAAGAAACTCTTTAGGAATGCTACTTAAGAATGTCTGCGCAATTTTCATTTGATAGAACGAATATCTTGAACCTCATTTCGTAAAGCAACATTTCACAATTTTCCAACCTTGTCTTCTTTGGATTATTTTGTAGATCAACGTATTTTATTCTTGTAAAAGGTTGAGCATTTGATCTTATGAATCCATGTAAATTATAAATAAAAATTAGAATTTTAA